TACAGAGAATCAGAGTAATCAAAGTTGGGCCAATAACAGGAAAATATTGCAATATACAAATATTGCAGATGAACACACTAGTGATTAGCAAGAACAACTAAACGGCAGAGACTAGCTGGACCAAGGGGTTTAAATAGGTGTGCTGTTATTGGTGAGCATCATTGGTAGTGCACCAAAACATATGGGATGGGTGCAGTGGCGTACACATGACCCATGGGGCCCCGGCGCGCGGGCCGGGTCGCAACACATGGCGGTGGACACCTGGTCACAGGGGTTACAGGGCTGCGACCCCTGTATGTACGCCAGTACATGCAGATGCACACACACGTAAAGGACCACTACAGACACCCAGATCACATCAGCTCAATTAAGTTGTCTGGGTGTCAGGTCCCTCTAGTTTTAACCCTGCAGCTGAAAACATAGCAGTTTCAGAGAAACTGCTTTGTTTCACTGAGGGTTAATCCAGCCTCTAGTGGCTGTCTCACTGACAGCCGCTAGAGGAGCGCACTGAATGTCCATAGGAAAGCATTGAGTAATGCTTTCCTATGGGAGGTTTGAATGCGTGCGCGGTCGCATTCGGAGCTGAGAGGCTGAGGGATCCCCAGCGCCAAGGGAGTCCGGAGCTGGAGAAAGGTAAGTGCTGAAGACACACACACTCTCACTTACAGACGCATATACACTAGCTAACAGACACACACATTTACTGACAGAGACACACTCAGCGACAGACATACATACACACTCACAAAACATACACTCTCATTGACAAACACAAACTCACTAACAGACATCAAACAGACTCACTAACACACACACACACACACTCAGTAAGACACACACAGTAACACACTCACTGACACTCACTAGCAGACACACACACTAACACTCACACTAACACTCACACTAACACTCACACTAAGACTCACACACACTCTAACACTAACACTCTAACACTCACTCTAACACTAACACTCTAACACTCACTCACACTCTAACACTCTAAGACTCACTCTAACACTCACACTAACACTAACACTCACTCTAAGACTCATACACACTCTAACACTAACACTCTAACACTCACTCTAACACTCACTCTAACACTAACACTCTAACACTCACACACACTCTAACACTCACTCACACTCTAACACTCACTCACACTCTAACACTCACACAGACTCTAACACTCACACACACTCTAACACTAACACTCTAACACTCACTCTAACACTCACACTCTAACACTCCCACACACTCTAACACTCACACTAACACTCACTCTAACACTCACACACTCTAACACTAACACTCTAACACTAACACTCTAACACTCACTCTAACACTAACACACACTCTAACACTCACACTCTAACACTAACACTCACTCACACTCTAACACTCACACATTTAAAAAAAAAATGTAATCCCCTCAGCCTCCTTACCTTTTGGAGTGCTGGGGGGATTCCCTGGGGTCCAGTGGTGCTGGTCACCCAGCAGGCGGGTGGCCGGTCGGGCAGGCAGGCGGGCGCGCGAGGGAGCACTCAGTGCTTACTCCGGTATCAGTGCGGTGCGCGAGGGAGCTGAAGAGGAAGCACTGAGTGCTCCCTCGCGCGCCCGCCTGCCTGCCCGACCGGCCACCCGCCTGCCGGGTGTCAGCAGGGCCAGCCTCGGGGGGCCCTGGGGTGGTCGTCTCCTGGGCCCCCCAGGGGAAGAGGCTGGCCCTGTGGGTACACACCGGGTCGCAGGGGCGGCCGGGCCCCCTGGTGGGCCGGGCCCGGTCGCAGCCGCGACCCCTGCGACCCTGGTATGTACGCCACTGGATGGGTGAGACCAAAATGAGATGGTCTCAGAATTTTGACGTTTAGAGAAATCCTTATAAAAGGAAGTATGGGATCAGTGTTCTGTGTCAACTCCAAATAATGGGCGGCAGCATTTTTGGCACAATTTTACAGTGTGGTTTCAATAGTGACTCGAGTATGCTGTACGGCACCAATATGGAAGCAATGAGATTGAGAGATATCTATATTGATTGAAGGAAGAATGACATATCTCTATTAACGCAAGAATGCTTTGTGGTAGTTTATTTGAAGCATGGTCTTGTTACCAGTGGGGTACCTCAGGGATTGTTCTTGGACCCATTCTCTTTAATATTTTTATTAGTGATATTGCAGAAGGTCTTGATGGTAAGGTATGTCTTTTTGCTGATGATACTAAGATATGTAACAGGGTTGATGTTCCAGGAGGGATAAGCCAAATGACAAATGATTTAGGTAAACTAGAAAAATGGTCAGAATTGTGGCAACTGACATTTAATGTGGATAAGTGCAAGATAATGCATCTTGGACGAAAAAACCCAAGGGCAGAGTACAGAATATTTGATAGAGTCCTAACCTCAACATATGAGGAAAGGGATTTAGGGGTGATTATTTCTGATGACTTAAATGTAGGCAGACAATGTAATAGAGCAGCAGGAAATGCTAGCAGAATGCTTGGTTGTATAGGGAGAGGTATTAGCAGTAGAAAGAGGGAAGTGCTCAAGCCATTGTACAGAACACTGGTGAGAGCTCACTTGGACTATTGTACGCAGTACTGGAGACCGTATCTTCAGAAAGATATTAATATTTTACTGGAGAAAGTTCAGAGAAGGGCTACTAAACTGGTTCATGGATTGCAGGATAAAACTTACCAGGAAAGGTTAAAGAAACTTAACATGTATAGCTTGGGGGAAAGGCGAGACAGGGGGGATATGATAGAAACATTTAAATACATAAAGGGAATCAACACAGTAAAGGAGGAGACTATATTTAAAAGAAGAAAAACTACCACAACAAGACGACAGAGTAATTAGAGAGGCAAATGGATCAATAAAATGGCTGTTTAATACTCCAGTAAGCTGACTGTTGAATTTCACAGTTAACTGGTTATTCTATGGCGCAATAAGCTGGCTATTAAATAAGCCTTTATAGCTGGCTACTGGATGTTCCAAACTGTGACTCTTGACTGTATCATGTTACCTTTACTGTTTCATGTTACAATTTTCTTCTTTATTTAACAAACCAATCAATCAAAAAATAAATAATAAGTAATCTGGAAAGTTCAAATGTTCATCCCCTAAAAGTGCAACCACTTATTTGTATTGTCACTACTATGAAAATCACAGGATGTCTTCCAAAACATAGCATACAGCATACCTAGAAATAACATGTACAGAACCATATACAACTGAGAGCATGCATATATAAATCAATCACTGGCTTATACTTATACACATAGACCCCCATAGACAGTCACAGACATAAAGACTATCCATCTATTTCTCTAATACTTATATTCACAGATACTCACAGAAATATAGAATTTACATGAACTCACATCTATGCATATATACAAATGCACAAACATGTTCTGTAAATTTTAATAGACAGAAATGTCAATTGACAGATATAAATACAAACATATTGCTGTAGTCTCTGCATTTACATATATCCTAATGCAAACCCTATATACATCATCTGTCCCACTAAGCATATTGTTATTCTCCAGAAATCCTGGTAATTAATGTCATTTGCAGCTTACATGTCAAGTTTTTGATTGCATCCCAAAAGAAAAATACTCAAGATTTACACTTAATAATTGATTCATAAACTGTCAATCAGCTCTTATTTACATAGAATCAGTGACTAAAATCATAATTTCATTGCTAAGATATTCTGAGTTCAGGGGAATATTTCCAGACTTTGTCCTGGCATTACAGAATCACTCAATTAAACCAGAGAGTGATAAAAGCTGAAACATATGAACACATGAAATCTGGTGAGCAAACAGACATACTCAATTGGAGTGTACCCCTCCACCCCCCTCCCTAAATGATATGGAATTTAGGCCAGGCCGTTGACATAGCTAATATGAACTGCACCTGAGCCAGGTGCAATATGTCACTTGTTTCAGAATTGCCATATACTTAGAAAACAATGTAAATAAGCTAAACTTGATCTATGAAACAATTAATAGAAAGAGTTTTACTTAATTATGTGTTTAAGCATTTTAATTTATGAAATGGCAGAACTAAGACATTAAATGGCAGAAAGAAAGTTAACTTTATACTAAATTTTGTATGCCTCTGTGTCTATAAAACATGTTTTTTTCTCATTGATTTTACCTGTTTAGATGTTCATGGGGAAAATAATTTAAATTTATGTGGTGAGGCTGGGACCGTATAGTGCACTTAAAGTAACACTATATTTCAGGAACACAAACATGTATTCCTGATCCTATAGTGTTAAAACCCCCATCTAGTCCCCCGTGCCCCCCCTTCTTCCCTAAATATAGTACAATCTTACTTGTATTGAAGTCTGCAGCTGCTGGCCCTGCCCCTGTCTGCCTCTGACCTGCTTGCTGTCATTATCAGAAGTGGTGGCCTGAGCCAATCATAATGCTTCCCCATATGATTGGCTGAGACTGTCAGAATACAATAAGCTGTAGTTGTTCTGGTGACTATAGTGTCCCTTTAAAAAATATTTTATGCACATGTACATTCCAAAGTAGTGTGCACAATGAACTATTATAGACATTCTGTGATTTGGAAGGTGTGCGTAACACAATTTTACTACTTGACTTGTTCTATGTAAATCAGTGGTAGTCAACCTTTTTCTACCTACCGCCCACTAATGCATCTTTCTTGATGGAAAAATTTCCTTACCGCCTACCAGTTTTCGCGCAAGTGCAGAATATTTTTTTAGAAAGGAGGGTGTTTTAAAATGTACGTACATTTATCTTTTTATTTCTGCTTTATGCATGTTTATAATGTTTTTAACTTTATAAAGTTTAATGAGAAAACAAAGTAAATTGAAATTACCTTTTCTAGTGATTAATGAGATCCTTGAGGTTGATGCTGCGAAACTAAATATTTGATATCTGGTTCGATTTTCGTAAGGAAAAAACGAAGGTCTCCTCTTTCGGTGATAATCAGACGATTTCTCTGTTTGCTCATAATATGATTTCTCATCTTTGCATCAGCTCCCCTCCTCTCCCTCCTCAATTCCCCTCCCCACCTTTTTTTCCCCCTTTTTGCTATTTTGAAAAAAAAAAAAAGGTGGGGAGGGGAATTGAGGAGGGAGAGGAGGGGAGCTGATGCAAAGATGAAATCATATTATGAGCAAACAGATAAATTGTCTGATTATCACTGAAAGAGGAGACCTTCGTTTGTTCCTTACGAAAATCGAACCAGATATCAAATATTTAGTCTCGCAGCATCAACCTCAAGGATCTCATTAATCACTAGTAAAGGTAATTTCAATTTACTTTGTTTTCTCATTAAACTTTATAAAGTTAAAAACATTATAAACATGCATAAAGTAGAAATAAAAAGATAAATGTATGTACATTTATTTTTTTTAAAACACCCTCCTTTCTAAAAAAATATTCTGCACTTGCGCAAAAACTGGTGGGCGGTAAGGACATTTTTCTATCAAGAAAGATGCATTAGTGGGCAGTAGGTAGAAAAAGGTTGACTACCACTGATCTAGATCATCTAGTATTGATGAAAATTTAGCAGTTTGATTTTTCAGTTCACAAAAATTTAGTGTTTTAAAGGAAACCCTCAACGGTGTAAAAAAATCCAGTTATTTTCTATTTAGCTACATGGAAGCACCTACCTAGATTTAATTTAATTTATTTTTTTTGTCAGTTTTTTTTTTCAGATGTTAGCAGTTTACAGGAAAAAAGTAGTGGCATCATATATGAGAACATCAGCGAAAATTGTACACCTTGTATGTTGTCCTATCTAGATTTTTTTATTAGAATAGAATAATCTATAAAGAAAATATCTTGTGTTGTTTTCTACTCACTGACTATATTTGAATTCCAGTTATATTTTGATTGGGCAAAAACACTCAATGACCAATTAAATTTACATCTTTGATTTTTAACGAGTCATTTTTTTTCTCCAGCATAACTACGTAGTAAAAATGCATAACTGTTGTTTCTATACTTATGTCACGTAAAACAATTTATTTTAAGACATAACTGCACTTACAGTATAATCTAAACTTTCTAAATTCTGGAAGATAGGCTTGTCCTATTACATTATTAGAAGGTAGACTTGATACATCAGATTTGCAGAGATAGACTTGACACATCACATTTCACAAAGTTAGATTTGACACATTACATTTCTGGAGGACAAACTTAGCATAGGACCGTAAATGTGTCAGTTTAACTATCTACATATTGATTTTGCCAAGTGCTGGAAGTTCGATACCAAGGGCTTTGCTATATCAAGAACAAAACAAATGCATACAGATATATTATATAATACTGAAATGCCATATCGGTGATGTTAAAGATATACTAGCCACGTTTGTTCATTCTTAAACAAGGTGATATTGTCAGTAAAACAAAGCATGTGACATACACTCTACTACCATGACTTGAGACAGTTCATGTTTGCTAAAAACCAACAGGGTTATTTGCTAAATTACAATTTTATTTTAAATTAAATCCGAATGGAAAATAGAGGCAAAAATAGTCAAGTTATGACTATGGATAAGTACTGGATTTTTTCTAAATTAGCTATGTTTGCCTTCTTTTTTTAGTAGGAATAAATTCACACACAAAAATGAATTGTTTAGTGAATAACCCTATTTATCTTTTATTGCATCCGTCTAGCACAATACAACATGTTGGGTGCGCCAGCCATCATAGCTGAACACATTTTATATGCAGAAGCCACTAAGTCAAGGACTAAAAGTTAGTTTTTAACAGCCAACTCAAAGTTTCTTTAGTACAAACAAGAATTTCCTATTCATTAAATAGTTTAAAACTGCTGTAATAACTTTAAAAAAAAAAATACCAAAAAAATAGAAATATATCCAAAACGCAAAGATAAATATTTATTTTGCATACAACCGTTGACAGGAAAATGACAAATATCATTCAGCTACCGTATTGGCATGGATGGCTTCATTTGTTGAAAGAAATTCATGGTGGAGATACAGTCTGATATTTGTTATATATTCAGGAGAATTTTTAACATGAATAGTTACCCTTTCATGAACCTAGAGTTTGCTCTCACAGGCTTCATTCAATATGTATATGACCGTTTGTACATATTGTTAATGTAGCTGGATAATTGGTGCTGGATTCTGGACCTTAAGTCTTGGTGCTGACAATTATGATGGGACTAATTTCAGACAAACTACAGACAGAAAACACTACCACAGCAATCCAATCCAAGTGTCCTTGTGAAGGTGGTGAGGGAGAGAAATTTTCTTGGCCTTTTTTATCATCACATCCTTATGCCCTTGACATCATTGTGACTTTGGTGCATTTGATATAATCACGCCTCTTAGCGTGTTCTGGTTCCAGGTGCTTTAGAATCCTGATACTGAATGATTAGAAAATTAGAATTATATTTATTATTATTAAACTTAATTGTATGACTTATAAATAATGTACTATGGTGATCGTTTGATAAAGGCTTTGGTTGAGGCCAAAACATTGCAGTGTCTCTTCAATAATCATGCCTGTTACATTACATCGAATGCCTGGACTATCCTGTTGTGTTCATTTGTATGTTGAGGATTTGCCAAGCTCGGGTCCAGTTTTGAGCACTAGGGATTGTTAAAATAGTGCGGTTTCCTGACATATGCATAGTCCCCTTTTGGCGTTTGCTTAATTAACCCCATACCCACAAAAATACTCAGACACCTTGTATTGGGAAAATTAATATCACAGCTTTAATAATATAAAAGATAACATATAACATTATAAAGTCATTGTCAACACAATACATAATACACTATTAACCTCTATTAACCACACCGACAATTACCCACATAAACAATTATTGATACCAACCCTAACATATAAATAAATGAACATAAAACATAAACCATTACCACAGAGGGCATGATTTTCCAGCTTTCACAATGTAGGGATATACCAAGATACACCCTATACACAAGGTTCGGAGCTACTGACGAGCTCGAACCTACTAATACCATTCCAAACTTAACTGTTCTTAGCAACTAAAACTAACATACCTATGACCATCTGACCTACCCTCCAACTTTTCTATCCATCCCCCACCACAGCTCAGAGCTTGACTACTTAAGCTACCTGAGCGCCCCCCCCCAACAAGAACACAGCTTTCTGTAAACCATCCTGAAAACCAAGCAACATAAAGTCCAGACCCACATCGGAAAGATGAACACCGTCTGGCCAGTAATATCCCGGAAGCTTTGCTCTCAAGTCCTGGTGTCTGATGACCACCCCCCCACTCAACGAATATAATTCGCCATGGTTTTGTTCACCTTACCCCTGCTTTTTTCTAATGCCCTCACCTCCCTAGCATGACGCCAATGCAAACAGGGAATCATCTCAGACCACACTACCACCACCCCGGGGACCATCTGCCTCAAAGTGTCCACATCTGTCTTCATCTGCTGAATCAGTTCTGCAGGACCTGTCCCAAATCATTCCCCCCAGCGTGTACCAACACCACATTTGGCACCTGACCTTCACCAACCGACATCCATAACTCACAACACCCTTCCCCCCGCCAGCTGGAACACCAAAAACCAAACCACAAGACTCGGACTACTGAACGGCTGCATGCCGTGACGACGAACTGTGGCCCTACTTTTTGCCCAGTAGATGAACGAGTGTCCAATCACCCAAGCATTTCAGCCTATGGGAGTTAATACAAGTAGACAAACATGTAAAGAAATAAATTAACACATGTACCCTCCAAACATTCACCTGAGCCTAAACTAAACGGTCAGGTCTCACGTAAGTATTAAAACGCACTGATTCCCACCAACCGACTTTCTTAACCAAGTCCTCTATCAATCCCAGCCGGGTAGCCTCCGTCGATTCAGAAAGAGTGCATCCCAAACTGCGTCAGAGAAAAGCCCATACGTGCCAAGGTGAACCGGAAGACCCGGAGGAACTGGAACCTCGACAAGGAGGACCCATCAGCGTGAACCAAAAATGAACCCCGAATCCCTGCACGTATTGCCCGAAAAGCAAAAGCAGAAGACACTGGACAAACGTTGACACCTGGCAACGAAAACATCACTACCGAGCAACCCTTACCGATGACGTCAGTCTTAGACCAACTCAAATGCAACACCACCCGATCTTCCCATAATTCGACCTCTGAAAGTTGCAAACCCCCTCCACCAAAATGATTACTCACCCGAAATGCCCCGAAAAAGGCCCAGCTAAAGGCCATGGAAAACAGCAGGACTTCATACTCCGAAGAACAAACCTCCGGGAGGGTGCCAAACTGACCTTGGAGGACCTCATACGATACAGGCTGCCACGCGTACCGCGACGTCCGCCCCTTCCTGTGCCCTTTAAGTGTTTGCCGGACAATAAAAATGCTTAGTCATGTCCTCCCAACCATTCAGTTTGAATTAGAATGCTAGCGCTGTCATGTTTCACCCCACAACCGAAGGAGAAGCGCCGAAGCAAGCAGCCTACACAGGAACCATAAAAGCGTCTCAAACCAGGCCGCTCTATGCAAACCACCGTCCTATCCCAATCCTGCCAAACCTTGATGTAGGCCGCCCATGCAGATTGCGCCAGTGACCCTCTTATGAGTCTGCCAAACAAGATGTCCCGAGCTGTCACACCTCCGCTGGACAGGGAACCCCTTCTTCCTGCGCGCCCGGATCTGCCGACTGAAACCTCGCAAACTGCAAATGAGAGAGCGGGTCAGCAACAACATTCAAGAACCCGGGCACGTGTCGCGCCCGGAAAACCACATTGAATTTCATGCAATACAAGACAAAACGGCGGAGTAGCCAAACCACTGGGATGGAGGAAGCAGATAAACTGTTAGCAGCTTCCACTACTGACATGTTATCAGAGAAAAATATCACCTTCCTGTTCTGCAACTGCCGCCCCCATGACGCCAAAGCCACCACTAACGGGAAAAATTCCAGAAACACAGAGTCACGAATAATCGGGCTGGCCTTCCACGCCTTCTGCCATGGTTCCGCACACCATTGCCCCGCAAAATAAGCTGCAAACCCCACACTCCCTGACGCATGCGTAAACAATTCCAAATCCGGCGAAGCCACCGCCGTCTCCCGAAAAAAACACTCGGCCATTGAAATCTCGCAGTAAAAACAACCACACCTCCAAATCGGCTTTCATGGAAGCCGATACCCATACAAAATGATTACGGAACGAAACGCTACTCGTAGCCCTAGCCAGGAACCTATTAAACACCCGACCCACCGGAATCACCCGGCAAGCAAAATTCAGAGGACCAATCAAGGACTGCAGAGCCCGCAATGTAACTTTCCTAGCTCCACGTACCTCAGCTACCGCCTGCCGAAGAGCAATCAGCTTCTCCTCCGGCAAGCGACACACCCCCTGCACTGAATCAATCTCCAAGCCCAGAAAGGATAAACAGGTTGTGGGACCCACAGTCAGATCATGGGACCCACCAGCGGCACGCCGAAAACTTGTGCGACCCAACTCCAGTGAGTTTTGTGCCCGCCTCCACCTGGACCACCCACTCCCAAAAGGAACTGAATTTTTAGAAGTAGGCACACGAGATGAAACGACCCATAGGCAGGATGTCATCGGCCCCGCGTCATGACATCCTGGGTACCTTGACGGACTTTGACCTCCCTGACCTCCCAATCGTCTGACCATGCATTCCCTCGTCCTGACCCCACTGGCCAAGTCCACCTGACAAGAGCCCTCTACTCGTCGGCCCCGTGTCATGACCACAGGTGAAGCCCTACCGTCTCCTTGCCTATCACCATGCAGAACACTCCTGGATCCCTCCCTATTTGTACCCCCCTGGGACCTAACATCTGAGCTTTGGTTGTGGTGACGCCCGTCCACCTGCAGGGAAACCCTATCAGTTTACCACCGTCAGCCCGTCCAAGTGGTGACCCCCTAGCGTACCTCTCCCCCTGTGTGCAACCCCTGCACTGTGGTGTCACCCTCCCTGCCAGCCTGGGAGGGAACCGTGAGGAGCTTCTCCTAGCCCCCACCCGTCCGGGGAAACTGACCCTTGCCTAAGTCCCCACTAAGCCCTTCCCTTGCCTTGTGCCTGGGGTACCCCCTACGTGAAGCCCTAGTGCCAGTAAGCAGGTGACCCACCGTGTTGGTGGCCGACTCACCCGTAGTTGAAACTGCACCATCCATCATCAATCCGGTCACTGCAGCCCTCCTGGTGGCATTCCGGCCAACCGCAGAGTCCACTGCCAAGGAACCCACCTTCCGCTTGGCAGCCGCCTTGCCCACCATGGGAACCAAACCAGAGTCACCAGCCATAGTCCTGGGTTTGCGGGCCGAACTGTCTGAAGTGCCCACAGCCCGTTCGGGAGAAATCCGGCGTTGCTGTTCACGGCCCCAAAATCCGGCAGCTCCCAGTTCGTGGCCCGAACATTCGTCTGGATTCTGTTCATGACCCAAACGTTCGGCAGTTGTACGTTCACAGCCCCAACGTTCGGCAGATTCATGTTCGCGGCGAGAACGTTCGACAGTTTCTACCTGTTCAGCTGCTCCGCCGGTTACCTGTTCACCACCCGAATGACCATCCATGCCTGACTGCACCGATTCGCAGCCCGAATGTCCTCGCACCATCATGCTCGTGGGAACACGTCCTGGCCGTGCAGCCACACACCAATGCCGTCCTTGTGGTACAGCCTTCTTGGGACTCCGTCCAGCTGCAGCTTCAGCCCTACCAGGCTCCAAAGTCGGGCTCCTGCCCCTCCGACCCCCGGCCTGCTCACTGGGGCTCAAACGCTGCGGTGGCCTGGTCCGCCTAGCGGGCCGACTTCCTTGGGACACAGGAAAAGGCCTGGCTAGGCGCAAAGCATCTCCCAGACGTCCTTGAAGTCATACCACTCCCTTCTCCAGCACAGCGATTGTACCTGGAAGACAAAAACAGAGACACCACACCGACCTGCCACAACAACAGGTAAAATGGCTCCCTATATACTCCCCTTACCCAAAAGCCCACCCCCAATATCTACATATACTATGCCTGTCTCTGAGCAATGTCAAGGCCCATTCCCCTTAGATACACTGCTCCATGGGCTACACTACAATTGTTTTAATTAATATACAGTGTCACATAAAAGCAGGAGGTTGTTGAGTTGTTAGAGAGACGGACATAGCAAGAGATTTTATAAATGAACAAAGTCAGATTTAACTTAATTATTTTATAGCTAATCTGTCCACATTTTTCTAATACTATATTCAGTACTATTGCCATTTTATGTTGTCATCCATGACCAAGTTTGGTGCATAGCACTCATATGGGCAATGTCTATTTAATTCAACCCTTTGTCAACTGTGCTAGCATCCTAGCCAGTTGCACCTTTATGGAAAATAATGTTTATGTAATGGGGCTCTTATACAATTTATTGGCAAACTTCCATTTATGTCTTCAGTTCCATTCTTTAAAGGGTCATCTTTTATTACGAGCGCAGGACCTTTTCCATTGGGACATCTAACAGCAATTTCACAACTCCATCAGGTGACTTTTACTGATCAAAGCAATCTACATGTTTTCAAATTCCAACAGTGTATGTTATGCTTGACAAAAAATATTTTACTTTGAGAAGACCCAGGCACAATGAAAGAATGGGGAAGGAATGACATGATGAGACGTAAAAAGTTCACAACATTCTATGTACTTTCCAAAAAGGCTGGGCCACTGTCACATGTGTTGTCCTCTCAGCTAACAAAGTATCCTTATCATCAACATACCCTTCTATTTTTTTTAAATTCCATTAATATGACATTTAAACATAATGATATAGACAAAATTGTGACTTTAGGCAAACATCAGGGAGGAACCAAAAAAATTAACACAATAATACTCTTAAAATTGGTAACATTAACATAAGTGTCGATCCCAGAAAGCCATTAATAAAACATGTTCAAAGAAAAGGAAACACCAATCATTCTCAAGACACAATCTCATACATACCGTTGCAGGAGACATATATTATGAGTATTAACCAAGTAGACTTGACTTGAACGAATAAATAAAACCCACAGGGTCTCACATGGCATGCCAAAAGTGTAACTTCCCCAAAGATTTATATTTTAATTTAAGGCTTGTAAAAAAAAAGAAACAGAAAATGTCAGCCAATAATCGAAGTAAGCATTGACTTATTTTAGAGGAAAACATTGTAGATAAGTATTTGGTCTTTCCCTGCTCTCACTCACTCTCCATTCTTTAAAAGGGAATATTGATTAACCTGTTAACATTCTTCCTTCACCCCCGCTGCTCCCCACCAGTGGAGGCTCATCCATAGCTGCACTTGAAGCAGCAGCCCACTACTTTTATGTGTGTGTGTGGGGGGGGAATATATTCAGTAGTTTAAAAACACTAACATTCTTTTTCTGGAGGGGAGGGTAGTAAGCCAAAAATATATGGAAAAAATAGTATCTCTTAAATTCTGCAATATGTTTCAGTAATGCATTCCCCCTCATTTGTAGCTGTTTGGAGTTGTTTTCTTGAGAGTATCTAGGCATATGAAAAAAATGGGTCTGGTTTGAAATTTAGTTTGAAAAATTGGTCTGGTTTGGTTTGAAATCAGCAGGTTTTGCACATACCTAGTCTCCTTTAAGAATGAATCTAGGGGATTTCTATTGAGTTGCCATTTGGACAAATGAGCCAGCTGCCCATGAGTGGAGGCATGCTATTGGACTCTCTATTCAGGGTCCATTATTGGCTGATAGCACCAAGGGGTGAGGATTTTACTGTCCACATGAGAGAGAAGCAAGAAGCCATCTAGGATGCAGCACATCAGCAGCAGTTGCTGGTCCCTGCAAAATGTGTTTAATTTTTATCTTTTTCTTTCTAGTGACTGTCTGAGGGCTGATTAAGCAAGGTAATTTACTCAAATATAGTATTAAATATATAATATACATCTAAAGTGCTACAGAATCTGTTGGCGCTATATAAATGGCGATAATAATAATAATATAAAGCCAGACAAACCCTGGGGTGACAAATTCAGAGGGGAATTTCTGACAGAGAGCACTGTGCTGCCTGTCACTAGTAGCTTTAATAACTCCTACTGAATCTTCAGTAAAGTGCTTAGTCAATCTACAGCTGAGACACTGTGGTTAGTTGAAAAGTTGTATAGCATCAAACTGCAGGACTGGGGCTGTGACTCTGAGGACTCATCTGATTTAAATCTGTTTTAATCTGATGATTGCTGCTTCTGTTAACCATTTAAGATACTTTTGGGCTCCATATTACCATTGCAGATTAATTATATTGCAAGTGTCAATGGTAAAAGTGGATAAGTACAATGCTGCTTTAACCCCGTGTACACTGTGTGCTGCAAGCTAATAGTAAGTCAGGACATCAAAAATAAATCTTACATTCACCTCTTGCCACCTTTTGCCATTTTACCCTACTCTGTTTACAGTATAAGTTACTTTAAACTGTGCTGTTTGTTTGTTAGTTTGCCTATTGTATAATGTTGAAAAATATGATTGCAAAGTTATAGTAATAATAATAATAATAAAAAAATTGGCTGTTTTATCACATATTACTGACTGTAGAATTTGAGTCTATTTGTGAAGTATACAAACACATCAACACATACTCCACATTGTATGGCATGACACTCCTCCTAAGAGTACCTGGGGCAATTTTGGAGGTGTGCAGGTGCGAGGATTCACTTTCAGCGTTGAGCATTATTCATATGAAACATCCATCGCCCTGACATAGATTATATTTAGAAAATATTTGAGAATTGCCTTTTTAAAGTCATCGTTTAATAAAACTATTCTGTTCAAAGAGTAAACAAATCATAAACAAAAAGGTAATTCCAAAACTTCACAGATGTATCTAAACAGGTGATTGTTAAATACATTGACTAGTGGGACTATGTCATTCCACAGGGTGTAGCCTTACAGAAAGAAACCCATCTCTTTAGGAAAGCTTATGGCCTACCAGAGTAACCTCTACCATACATACCTGTCTCTTGCTCTCCCCTATAGGGCAGTGCTTTACTCTCTCCTCCAGCTCTGCTTCACTCCCACCCTATTTGATATTTTCTGTCATAATGTGTCTTATACCCCACCTCCTATGGACTGTAAGCTTCTTTGAGCAGGGTCCTCTTCAACCTATTGTTCCTGTAAGTTTTCTTATAATTGTCCTATTTATAGTTACATCCCCCTCTCATAATATTGTAAAGCGCTACGGAATATGTTGGCGCTATATAAATTGCAATAATAATAATAATAATAATGAGCTTACAATCTAATGTTTAAAATTGGGAGTTATGACAAAAGGCAGCAGGTAGTATATGGAGGTGATGGCCAGAGAGAAAGTTATATTGAAGCCACTGATAACATGTTAAGGGAATGAGGAGGTTTTTGAGTGAGATCTCAAGCAGCTGGAGAAGCATGTTAGACAGTTAAAAAGAACCAAGGCAGGAAGAGGGGATGGTGGGGTGGCAGTGGTAAGTGAAAATAAAGTTTCTCTTTTTTAAATGAATACATTTTTTTATAGAGTCTTCTGAAAGAGCATTCTATAAACAACGGTGGTGGAAGGATAGGTGAGAAGAGGGATATTGGTAGCAATATTTTAGAGATGGTTGCTGAGGAAAAGCTAGGTCTGGATCTAGAGACAGAAGGAATCCACAGGAGGTCCAAAATCCACAAACATGCTTTCTGAACAGAATTAAGGAGCAGTAGTTAGAGGAGTGGGGTGGGATGTATAGTATTTGGTGTGAGAACACTCTGACAACCAAGTCTCAAGAGAAGTCTCCCCATAGTTACAGTTCCATGTTACCAAGCACAATTCTGTCCAACTTGGATGTCAATCATAAGCTAAGAGCAATTGGAGCAGGTTAATAGGTTAGTGCCCTCAGGATAGTCTCTCAGGTTGACAAATAACCTGAGGACAACTTTGATAGACATATAGTACCATGAACTATATACTGATTTGTTGTGGTTTAGGCGCTTCAACGCCCCGTAGTTTATTTTTTGTATATTATTTTTAAGTGTATTATTTTTTTAATTCAGTATATTATTTTTCCTAGTTATTAAAGTTTGACCTTCATTTGAGTGCAGGAGCTACTGAATCAATCTAGATATCAATTCTCTCTCTCTCTCTCTCTCTGTTTGTTTTTTTCGCTGTCTTGGTTGAATGAGCTGATCATAAATGTGTGCACCAGAAGAGGTAAATAGGGGACTATATTTTCAGTACTACAAATGTGATTTCAAGAGCAAACTAGAAATTTGGGTGTCATTTATATTAACAATATAGTCATGTGATCTGAAATGGTCAAAAGGTCATATTTTGCTTGCTGCTAAAATGTTGTTCTTCTGTTTTTCCCAATATTGACACAAAATTCAAAGAAGATCAAATAATAGATGCTAAAACAATGTGTGTGTTTTCACAGAAATATGTATTCTCAATTGTATGTTTGGAGGAGAATATTTTCTGCCATTACTAGTTCTGTCTACTGCGTACAGGGTGCATAGTGTGACAATAACTTGAGGCAATCAACACAGAGAGTCCTAAGGGAATTCCAGAAAGGAAGAAAAACAGGATAGTCCGTGCTTTTGGCCCTCAAAGTAGCTGGACTTAAAGGGAAACTTACATAGAGGGAAAATGACAGTAACTGCAGGCTGTAGAATGGTCAAACCAAGGTCACAACATGGAGGGACCAGGAATGTAAGATGTCAAGGTGCAGAAATCAGATGATATTGTGGAGAGGTCAGAATAATTGTGAAAACAAGCTAAAGTCAATACCAGAGAAGACAAGAGAAATAATTAAAACACTATTGGGCCCATAGGAAACCACAAGAAGACACCTGACTGAGTGGAAGGGAGGTTTATATAGCATAAGGTAAGTTACTAGTCACTAGTAAGTAAGTAGTCTAGCTTACAGAAGAGGTAAATAGCTTTAAAGTAGCCTATTTAACTCTGATTTTGAATGGTGTTGAGGAACATACTCTATTCATTGGTAAACCTAAAATCTGAATATGTTGCACACAATAGCATTATAAAAAGTCCTACATTCAAGCTGTGTACTGTCACCCCATGGTCTCTATGAGAAACTTGAGTGGCACTAGTTCCTGTAGGTGCCTCAGTCTGGTGCCCGCCAGGGGATGTATTCTGGATCTGACTCAGCTCTGCTATCTAATTTCTGCTATATATCTACTTCTCTGTAGACACCTCACTAGCAGTCTCTCTTTTCTGCATATATTGTTAGATCTTATGTGGCATTCTCTATATCCTCACATTGTATAAGGTTGTTTTTATGTTAGTCTCTTATATCTACTGTACATATTTATGTTTCTTCCTATTCTGATAACTATACCAGCTGTGCTAGATTCCTTCCCATTGCTTTCTGCTCCTTTTTTTTTATCTAGATGCTCGCTGGAGACATTATAATGACTTTAATTGCTTTTGCTCGTTTAGATATAGTATCCAGCTTCATTTCAGATTGTCAGATTTACCTTTTACATTAGAACGATCTTTTTGTTTACTTGTATCCTAGCAACCGAACGTGATGACGTCAGACACTATGGACTGAATGACTGACATCAGCACGCACGTTTATGACGAACCAGGAAGTGGATGGAGCACTCAGTATGGTGGATGGTCACTGGAACTAGTCCTACAGCTTATGTGGATCTTGTTTAATATGTGGGTGGCGGCACTGCAATTATTGTGAGCACTATTGTATATATGTGTATTTGTATCCATGCTTTACAAAGGACATTAGCATTGATAAAGGGCATTCTCCCAAAACGTTTGCAACCTGTACTTTGTCCTTCCAATAAATATGGTAGCACCTGGGTGTACACTTTAAATATCAGCTGCGCATTACTCCATTTTTTTCTGCTTTGGTCATTACACTTGTTATCTTTACATTGAATCAGGGTAGGCAGACATCCTGCCTCTACCTCTTATATAGATAGTGTCTGAGTGTCTATCAGTGTATGTGTCTGTGTGTATGTGTGAATATGTCTGTCAGTATATCTATCTGTGTGAATCAGTATGTCTGTCAGTGTGTGTGCCTCTGTGTGTTTTTGTGTCAGTATGTCTATCAGTGTGTGTGTGTGTTCGTGTCAGTATGTCTGTCAGTTTATATGTGTGCGTCAGTATGCCTGTCAGTGTATGTGCCTGTGTGTATGTGTGTGTCAGTATGTCTGTCAGTGTATGTATTTGTGTGTGTCAGTATGTTGTCAGTGCGTGTATCTGCATGTGTGTCAGATACACATACACATACACTCCGGGCCGGCATATCCTATTGGTGACTTAGGCAGTCACCTAGGAGCGTCGGCCCATCATGCGGCAGCCGCCTGAGTGCCATATAGAGAGCCTCAGGGGGCTACAGCACTCCCTCCTGCCAGTCCCTCAGTGTAGCGTGGCCGAGCTCCGGTCTGGTCTGCGGTACAGGAGCATCCGTCTCCTGTACCCGGCCGGACTGACACACAGTGAGCACTTCCTGTCAGTCTGGCCAGGTACAGGAAACAGAAGCTCCTGTACCACAGACCGGAGCTTGGCCAAGCTACACTAGAGGGGGGGGGGGGGGGAGAGAGAGAGAAACCATGGAGCAGGGCCAGATTAAGATCCCAGTGGACCTGGTGCTGACAATTATGAGGGGCCTAAGTACAGAATCTTGTCGACCAAAAACACTAAAACAGTAATACCTCTCAAGCATTATGTATCTGGTGGAGATGTTGCCGGAGGGAAACACATAGGATGCAGCTATAAAAAAAACTCAGATTCTCTTAAAATATGCTAATCTCTTTCTAATTCATGCTTTCATCTTTCAAGTAAATCCATACCCCCTAACAGCAGTGTCCAGTGAAGCAGGAAGTCAATGGGTGATGTAATAGGGTGGGCCACTGATGCGGATCATGTAACCAGAACTTCCGAAAGGGCCGAACATGCCCAAAAAGGAGGCGTGTATGCCCAAAGAATTGAAAGGCTAGCCTGGCATGAATGCATGTCAGGCTGCCTGCCAATCATGCATGCTGGCCAACAGTATCCTGAGCTTGGCATAATTGCGTCTCATGATGCGCTTGTTCCATGCTTTCTAAGGACTGCCCCCTAGCACTCACATGTCCACTTGTCTCCTTACCATCTTACTAGCAGGCAGAAGCTCCTGGTATACAGTCTGAGACAGAGAAAAGGTGGATGTAGTGCGTGTAGAAGAAAGGGAACATGCCACAGTGTTATAGAGACCAAAGTCAGCATTACCTTAACTAATTTCATTTCAGCTACTTCAGAGTCCAGATGCTGCAACAACGTTACAGTTCAACAATAGCTTCTACTGTAACTTGTCTGGCAATTTATGATAGTGCTGAAGCTCCTTATATGTCCACAGTTAGTGCACACTGTATCACATTAGAGCATTTGCAAATAGACTCAGCACTTTATATATACCAGACCTTATATTTGTATATACTTTCGTACATTCGTTTGTGGTTTACCCACTTTTCTTTTAAGGACAGTTATTAAAAGTTAAGTTTTATTTAATATCTATCCTTACCACTTCTTCCTATTATTATTTTTTTTTTCTGTAGTGACTCACCCTTGCCTTATTACTTTTGTGAGTCCCTGCGAGGGATTTTCCACTCTTTAGGATACTTTACCCATTTATCCTAACTCTGCTCCTGACTCCCTTTCTATGTTGTTCAGTTTTTAGTGGAATTTTTTGTACTAGGGGTTAACCCCCATCCAGGAGCGAGATCACTGTATCTCCCTTTTCGTTTTTTGTTAGCAGTTAGGGTTGCCACCTTTTTTGGAAAAAATACAGGCCTTACTAATTTGCGTAACTAATTATGTATGCTTCACATCACATGATCTAAATCACAAGGAGTGACAGGGAAAATTCTGTGAAATAACCAAAAAACTACTAAAGTTTGATTCTGCTGTATAGATGGATTGCTCCCAGTTTCTCCCTGTCTCAAAGTATCTCCCTGTCACCCAGTGTCCCCTAGTGTCTGTGTCCCCATGTCTCCCAGTGTCCCCATGTCACTAGGGGACACTGTGAGACATGGGGACACTGAGACAATTGGGGACAAAGACTATGTATCACAGTGTCCCCATTTCTCCCAGTGTCCCCCTGTCTCCCGGGGACACTAAGAGACATGGGGACACAGACACTGGGAGACATGGGGACACAGACACTGGGAGACATGGGGACACTGAGACACTAGGGACAATGGGAGACATGGGGACACTGAGACACTAGGGACAATGGAAGACATTGACACACTGACACTAGGGACACTGGGAGACATGTAAAAACTGAGACACTAGGGACACTGGGAGACATGGGGACACTGAGAAACTTGGGGGCATTGTGTCCCTAGTGTTTGTGTCCCCATGTCTCCCAGTGTCCCCAAGTGTCTCAGTGTCTCCATGTGTGTCTGTGTCCCCATGTCCCCTAGTGTCTCAGTATCCCCATGTGTCCCTGTGTGTGTGTGTGTCCATGTCTCAGTGTCCCCATGTGTGTCTTTGTCCCTATGTCTGCAAGTGCCCCCAAGTGTATCAGCGTTCCCAGGGAGAGAGACCATGAAGGGAGGGTGGGAGGGGTAGAGAGAGACCACGAAGGGAGGGAGGGAAGGGGAGAGAGAGACAAAGGAGCAGGGTAGAGAGAGACCATGAAGGGAGGGAGGGAGGGAGAGAGTCCATGAAGGGTGGGGGGGAGAGAGACCATGAAGGGAGGGAGGGGGGAAGAGACTACTATGGGAGGGGGAGAGGGAGGGTGGAGGAGCGACCACTAAGGGAGGTGGGGGTGAGGAGAGATCATTAATGGAAAGGGGGGAGAAGAGGAGAGACCACTAAGGGAGGCATAGGCGTGTGCAGCCTATTGCATTAGGGTGTGCACCCTAAAGCAAAAACACACACTCCGCGTGTATATGTATATATATAGATATATATATACACACACATATACATACATACATACACTGCTGTGTGTATGAGGGTGCTGTTAGTGTGCTGTGAGGGTGCTGTGTGTGTGTGTCTGAGGGTGCTGTGTGTATGTGTCTGAGGGTGCTGTGTATGTGTGTGTGTGGGTGCTGTGTGCGCGTGTGTGTGAGGTGTGTGTGTGTGTGATAGTGCTGGTAGTGTGCTGTGTGTGTGTGAGGGTGCTGTGTGTGCATGAGGGTGCTGTGTGTGTGAGGGTGCTGTTAGTGTGCTGTATGTGTGAGGGTGCTGTTAGTGTGGTGTGGGTATGTGTGAGGGTGCTGTTAGTGTGCCGTGAGGGTGCTGTGTGTGTGAGGGTGCTGTTAGTGTGCTGTGTGAGGGTGCTGTTAGTGTGCTGTGTGTGTGTGTTTGTGTGTGTGTGTGTGTGTGTATGTGTGTGAGGGTGCTGTGTGTGTGAATTTGCTTGGAGTGATTGTGTGTGGGAGTGAGGGGGAAAGATTAGGAAAGGTAAGAAGGATCCCCCCTCCCCTTCTTACCTTTTCCCTGGGAGGGGGATCCTTGCTGCCATCCCTGGTGGTCTTAGTGGTGAGAGTGAACTCTAGCCTGCAGCGAGGAGCTAGCGAGAGGAACCCGGCGGAGCTGCTGACTAGAGCTCCCCAGGTCCTCTCTTGCCTCTGGGCCGGTGAGGGAGATCTCGGATAGCGCAGGCTGTGCATGGGCCGACAGGGGAGATCCTGTGACCTCCCCTGCTGGCCTCGATCCATGCACGGGTCGCTGGGATTAGGGTGTGCCCAGGCACACCGAGCACACCCCGTGCGCATGCCTATGAAGGGGGGTGGGAGGAGGGACCACTAAGGGACAGGGGAGGAGAGACACTAAGGGGCAGGGGAGAGCTCTAAGGGACAGGAGGGGAGAACTCTAAAAGACAGAAGGGGAGAGCACTACAGGAAAGGGGGCAGGAAGATCACTTTGGGGGGGCATAAGAGAGGATAGACCAATAAGATTAGGGTGTAGGAGAATAACGGACAGGGGAGAGCTCTAAGAGACAGTGGGGTAGGGAAGAGCAATAAGGGACAATGGGGCAGGATACAGCAGTAAAGGACAGGAGGGGAGAGCACTAAGGGAAAGGGGGCAGGGAGATCACTAAGGGACAGTATGGCAGGGGAGAGCACTACAGGACAGGAGAGGAGAGCTCTAAGGGACAAGAGGGGAGAGAGGCTGAGGAAGGAGGGAAAGAGAAGCAAAAAGGGACTGGAAGGACTCGGCCTCTATCCTACCCCACAAACTCTCTATTTCACACTGCACACACACAATGCATCACTGCACACATACAATGCATCCCTATACATAGACTGAAACACACAATGCATCCCTACACACACAAACACACCATGCTTCCCTTACACACACACACAATGCAACCCTTACACACAAAAACAATGCACCCCTTGCACACATACACAGAAACACACAATGCATCCTTTACACACACAGAAACACACACTGAAACACAATGCACCCCTTACACACACTGCATCCCGTACATACACAGAAACACACCTTGCATCCCTTACACATACAAACACTGATTCACACAATGCATCCCTTACACACAAACACACACTGCTTTCTATCCCTTACACAAAACCACACTGCATCCATTACACACACACACTGCATCACCTACACAAACTGGAATCCCTATACACTACATTTTAATGTAAACACACACTGTGTGCAGCACTGGCGTTCACGGCCACCACCAGAAATTTTGAGGCCCCTGACAAAGCACAAGGACTGGGACCCCTTCCCCTCAGCCACCCGGACCGCCCACGAGTCCGCCCACAGGACTCCTACCTAGTCCGCAGACAATGATACAGGACTGAATGTTGCGTGTATAGTGGAAGTGAATTA